GTGAGACTCCAACTCAAAAAAAAAAAAAAAAAATATATATATATATATATATATATCCATTGCTGTTGAAAAGAATATTGAGGGTTCAGAAAAAGTGAGAAACAGAGAAAAATATATCTTAAATAACTTTGGCCAGTATCAGGAAAAAGACAAGGACACTGCCTCATGCTCACCTTGCTTCCCGTAGTCTCCCAGACCCACAGCCTGGAGGTCCACACGGTGAATTTTGCACAGAACTCTGTTCATGGCAGTATATGTGGCTCGCCGCTGGCTGGGCTCCAAACCTGGCAGGGAGGGGTCTTTGTAGATGAGTCCTGGGCAGTATTCCATCAGATAGAAGGGGGTGCCAATAACACTGCAAGGGACACACACAGGGTGTTCAGGGGCAACTCCTACCATGGTCAAGGCCCTGCATGTGAATCATGGCCCTGCTCTTTCTTTCTTTCTTTTTTTTTTTGAGTCGTATTCTCACTCTGTCGCTCAGACTGGAGTGCAGTGGCATGCTCCCGGCCATCGCAGCCTCGACCTGCTAGGCTCTGGCGATCCTTCTGCCTCAGCCTTCCAAGTAGCTGGAATTACAGGCATGCACTACCATGCCCGGCTGACGTTTTGATTTATTGTAGAGATGAGGTCTCGCCACCCAGGCGGGTCTCGAACCCGCAGGTTCAGGCAATCCACTCACCTCAGCCTCCCAAAGGCGTGGGATTACAGGCTGAGCCACCGAGCCCGGCTGGCCCTGCTCTTTCTATCTGTCCCTGGGTGTATGGCGTGAGAGCTGGTGAAGGGCTCAGACCGAGTTCTAGACTTTTTCCTTCATATATAAGCCCAGGGTGTTAGAAGTAGCCCCTTCCCCAACCAACACACACATATACACACACAGAGAAGCATGCATGTCCATGCTTCTTTGCCAGCACACTTTTCTCTTCTACTTGGTCCACTTGTGGAAGCCATCAGAATGGGTCTAAGTGTGATAATGGAGAACGAAGAAAGCAGCCAGGTGTGGTTTAAATGTGACAATGGAGAAAGACGCTGGGTGTGGTGGCACACACCTGTAAACCCAGCTACTCGGGAGGCTAAGGCAGAAGGATCACTTGAGCCCAGGAGTTTGGAACTGCCATGAGCTGTGAGTGCCACTGAACTCTAGCCTGGGCAACAAAGTGAGACCTTGGCTGAAAAAAAAACAAAAAAAGTTGGGAAAATGAAAGACTCAGAAAGCATGTTGTAAAGCTGTTTAAAACAGTTTAGTAAGACCACAATAAAAAATTAACAGAAACAAGCAACATGAAACCAGATGAATACATATTTTTGAATGTTAAAAAAAGATGTTTTCTACTAGTTCTCACAAAAGCAGGCATATGTTCATCTCTCAAGATAACATAAAGATCTGAAAACTTCTGGGGAAGTTGCCATAAAGCCTCTTTTCCCTTCTACCCAAATTGTACTTGTCATTAAAAAACTGGAATTTGAGGTCGTTTGTGGGCTTTTCTCTCCTGTGGCTTGAATACAATGTAAAAGTGCTTCTGAATTTTACCTTGAATCCTCACAGAGGTCAAGAACTTTAGGGACAGGTACTCCAGCATTTGCGAGGGCTTTCATAATCCTGCCAGAACAAATTAAAATAAGCATAACTTCTGGCTGAATTGTTGAGACTTTCTTGAAATGACTTTTCTAATTTAAAAAATTAGTACATGCATAAAGTAATATGGAATGCTAAAAAATATTCAATTGGCCCTAAAAGAAAAAAAAAAACAGATGAGACAAACAAAAAACAAATGGTCAAACTGTAGACCTATATCAAACATATCAATAACTACATTAACAGATTAAACATTCCAATTAAAAGACAGACATTTTCAGGCTAGAGAGAAAAGCATGACAACTATATGATAGATACAAGAGATAAGCTTTTTTTTTTTCTGAGTCATAATCTCACTCTGTTGCCCAGGCAGGAGTGCAGTGGCAAGCTCACAGCCACTGCAGCCTTGACCTACTAGGTTCAGCAGATTCTTCCATCTTAGCCTTCCAAGTAGCTGGAACTACAGGCATGTGCCACCACACCTGGCTAATTTTTTTATTTATTGTAGAGATGAGGTCTTGCCAAGTTACCCAGGCTGGTCGCAAATCCCTGAACTAGGCAATCCTCTCGCCTCAGACTCCCAAAGAGCTGGGATTACAGACTTGAGTCACATGCCCAACTGGGATATATCAAAATGATACAACAGAAAGCTCATCAGACATTACAATTATAGATATATATGTCCTTAACAACAGAGCTTCACAATATATTAAGCAAAATTGATCAGAATGAAAAAGAAAAATGAACAAATCCACAATCATAGCTGCCATTTTAACACTTCTTTTTCAGTAATGATTTGTCACTACCAACCAACCTGACCTGGTGAACATTTCTAGAACACTTACTCAGCAATTGCAAAACACATATTATTTTCAAGTGTACACAATATGTTCACCAAGATAAATCATGTGCCAATCCATAAAATAAATTCCAATAAATTTCAATAAAACTGAAATTTGGCAGAGTATTTCTCAGACCTCCATGGAATTAAACTAGAATTCATTAATATAAGATATCTAGAAAAAAAACCAAGTATTTGAAAATTAAACAACACACTTCTATATAACCCATGAGTCAAAGAAGAAATCAAAAGAGAAACTAGAAAATATTTCAAAGTGGAATAATAATAAAAATACAAAATGTCAAAATGTTTAGGATATAGTTAAATAAATGCTTAGAAAGAATAGCCTTAAATGCTTATATTAGCTGGGCTCAGTGGCTCAGCCTGTAATCCCGTGCCTTCGGGAGGCTGAGGTGAGTGGATTGCCTGAACCCGCAGGTTCGAGACCCGCCTGGGCGGCGAGACCTCATCTCTACAATAAATCAAAAAATCAGCCGGGCGTGGTAGCATGCACCTGTAATTCCGGCTACCTGGAAGGCTGAGGCGGAAGGATCGCCGGAGCCCAGCAGGTCGAGGCTGCGGGGGCCGGGAGCGGCCACGGCACTCCAGTCTGGGCGACAGAGTGAGACTCCAACTCAAAAAAATAAAAAGAAATATATAGCCGGGCTCGGTGGCTCAGCCTGTAATCCCGCGCTTTGAGAGGCTGAGATGAGTGGATTGCCTGAGCCCACGGGTTCGAGACCCGCCTGGGCAGCGAGACCTCATCTCTACAATAAATCAAAAAATCAGCTGGGCGTGGTAGCGCATGCCTGTAATTCTGGCTACTTGGAAGGCTGAAGCGGAAGGAACACCGGAGTCCAGCAGGTCGAGGCTGCGGTGGCCGGGAGCGGCCACTGCACTCCAGTCTGGGCGACAGAGTGAGACTCCAACTCAAAAAAAAAAGGAAATATAAAACACAAAGAAAAAAATTAACAAACTCAAATACTGGTTTTTTAATAGATCAGTAAGTTGGTAAATCTCTAGCTAGACTGACGCGAGAGCGAGAGTGAGAGAGAGGAGAAATATAAATTATCAATCAATACTAGGAGTGATAAAGAGGGGATATCACTACAGATCCTACATACATTAAAAGAATAATAAGGAAATATAAGGGGAACAACAACAAAAAAAAAACCCTGGAATTCATTTATAAAAAATTGTAGACTGGGTGTGGTAGCTCAGGCCTGTAATCCCAGCACTTTGGGAGGCGGAGGTTAGAGAACTGTCTGAGTCCAGGGGTTCAAGTCTAGGCTGAGCAACTTGGTGAGACCTTGTCTTTACAATAAATCAAAAAATTAGCCGGGAGTGGTGGCATGCACCTATAGTTCCAGCTACTTGGAAGGCTGAGGTGGAAGGATGGCCTGAGTCCAGCAGGTTGAGGCTGCAGTGGCTGTGAGTGTGCACTCTAGCCTGGACAACAGAGTAAGACTCCAACTCAAAAAAAAAAAATTGTGTACTTACTTTTACATGTTTAAATGTCAGTCACCTTCAAAGTACTCTCCATTTGATACAATACACCTATTGAGACGCTTTTTCCATTGCTCAAAACAGGTTTTGAACTCATCAATTTTGATGCCTTTTTTGTGCTGCCATTTTTTGTTTCACCTCTTCCACATCAGCAAGTTTCCCTTTGAGGACTTTTTTCATCAGAGGAAACAATTAAAAAGTTGCCGAGTTGGGCTCAGTGGCTCAGCCTGTAATCCCGCGCCTTCGGGAGGCTGAAGTGAGTGGATTGCCTGAGCCCGCGGGTTCGAGACCCGCCTGGGCAACTTGGCGAGGCCTCATCTCTACAATAAATCAAAAAATCAGCCGGGCGTGGTAGCGTGCGCCTGTAGTTCCGGCTGTTCGGAAGGCTGAGGCGGAAGGATCGCCAGAGCCCGGCAGGTCGAGGCTGCGGTGGCCGGGAGCGGCCATGGCACTCCAGTCTGGGTGACGGAGTGAGACTCTAACTTAAAAAAACAAAACAAAACAAAACAAAAGTTGCCGAAAGAAAGACTGGGTGAACATGGAGGGTGTGGCATGAGGGTTGTGCTGTTTTTTGTCAAAAACTGCGGAACACTCAACACAGTGTGGGCAGATGTGCTGATATTTCACCCACCATGAAATGGGCAAAGATGTTGAAAGAATCTCTAAAAAAAAAATTCATTAAAGCCGAGGACAGTCTCTCACAATAATGCTAGCTGGTACACTGATGCTGATGGGTTCCTAGAACACCTACCTAGCAGGGGAAGCCTGTACTGTGAGGGGCCTGCCCTCCAAAAATAATTCTGTTTTTGGGGGGTCCCTCCTCATTTTCTGAATAATAAATTCAATAACTAGATGAAATGGATAAATTCATTGGAAATTACAACTTACTGCCAGGCTCGGTGGCTCAGCCTGTAATCCTGCGCCTTGGGAGGCTGAGGTGAGTGGATTGCCTGAGCCCGTGGGTTCGAGAC